TTTTTTTTTTTTTTTTTTTTGGCGTTGCAATAACATCATGTCAAAGTTTTAGGAACGAGTGATCCTCATGTCTAAACTACTAGGTACCCATGTCCATCTTATGGGCTGGTTTACGACTAGGGGCTCTATCTATTTCCACACGCAATACTTACCTGTTTTAATCTCATTGAGTTATAATCTAATTCTAATCTTGAAAGCACTACCCTTTTGGAACCAATCTTGAAGTACTACACTCAAAATTAAGATCGAGTTACATATGATCATCTTGTGAAATATTAATCTTCTTATTTAACGAATTGATAAAGAGATTAAAAAACTTTGTGGTCTAGCCTTATAGAAACTCATTGTATATGATATACTCACATGTCTTTGCATGGATAATTTAAATAAAATCAGTTGTAATAATTACCAAGTGGATCGTATCAACAATGTTGTCACGATAAGACACCTAATCTTATCCATATTGTTAAGGATAATTAGTAATAAATTATAGTTTACCATATATATCATATTTGATATTTTATTATGAAGCAAATATGTAGATATTTGCCTCTTACAATAGTTATCTTTCTATTTATTTCCATATAATTTATTTTATTATAAATAAGATAACTTTAACACCATTTACGTGTGGGATTATGCAAACATTCACAAGGTATCAGAGCCCTTTCGGTTTAGCAACCCCGATCCCTTATTTTCAATGGCTTCTGAATTTTCTACTCATCTTCTTCTCTACCACCCCTACTGGCTTTGACGCTGCAGGGGCAGTCTCCATGACTGCCACATGCAAAGCCGATTGATTACTCTTCGGCTCCACCCGTTTGTCCTCCAAATCATCCTTCACCATTGTCTGTATATACAACCTCACCTTTTTCAAACATAGCTTCTTTCATTTTCTTCTCAATTTTCCCTTCATCCTTCACAGAAACCCTAATCTTAGGATCTTCATTAGCGTTCTCTTTGTAAATATACAGAATCTCGATAAGCCCATAGATTTACCTTTGGAATCTAGGCGCCGCACTGGCCTCTTCGCCAACCAAGTTGCCACTGCCCTTCTCGCCAAAATTGGCTCCTTTCGCCCAATGTGGCGACTCTTTCAGCTGCCCTTCTCGCCAAAATTGGCTCCTTCGCCCACTGTGGTGACTTTTCCGGCTTCAACATTGTCTTTGTCCCTTGCTCTAGGTTTCCCCTTCTATTTCTTGGGGTTAGACATATTCTCATCAGAGCCAAGGCAGCATCGTCGGTAAGCGACAATCTCTCTTCATAGGTTAGACATATTCTCGCCGAAGCCAAGGCAGCATCACCACTGAGCGACGATCCCTCTGCAATTTTCGATGGCCAAGAAAGTGTTTCTCTACGCCTCCTCTAAACCAAGTTGTTGACATCTTCACAAAAAGTGTTTCTCAATCTCTTTGAATTTTTCAGATTCAAGTTTCACGTTCGTTTAAATCCGATGCTTAGCTTGCGGTGGGGGTTAAGGATATTTAGTAATAAATTATAGTTTACCATATATATCATATTTGATATTTTATTATAAGGCAAATATCTATCTTTCCATTTATTGTTATTTCCATATCTTGTAATTTATTTGATTATAAATAAGATAACTTTCACACACCTAAATGGTAGATTATGCAAACATTCACACATATATTATAGACTCTTATATTATTACTTGAATATGATCTTCTCCGACGTCAATGTTAGGATCGCTCAACAATGCATACACTTTGATTAAGATGAACACACAGAACCGGAGAGAGAAAATAATTGAACTCCGTACATCCAGCTCGTAACAAGTAAAAGTTGATCTACAAACCCAACTCAACATCAAAAGCTACTGTTATGGGTAAAATTAGACCCGGGAACAACCCAAAAGAATAGAAGAAACCTAGCGATTACAATATCGAATTTGAAAACTTAAGCAATTGAAAGGATAGGATTGTGGCCACACAAAAAGTAACCCACCTTTCTTTGATTTTCAAATCACTATTGATGAAAAGCAAGACCATCTTTATGGTATTATCATCTTCCACTACTTCCACCTTTTCATGTATTAATAATTGAGCGAATTTTTGACCAAATTGACTCATACGGTTAGATGAACACGACTCTCCACAATCACATGATATTGTCCACTTTGAATATAAGCTCTCATGGCTTTCCTTTAAGCTTCCCAAAAGACCTCTCAAACCAATAGAGAGAGTATTCTTTGATTATAAACCCATGAACATTCTCTAAATTAGCCAATGTGGGACTTTCATCATCCAACACATACTATTATCGTACTTTTTATTCATTCTCAACTAAACAAAATAAAAAAAAAAACAAGAAACAAAAGTTGTAGATTTTCCATCACAAAATATTTTGGTCATTTTCCACCACTTCACTTCAATAAGGAGTTACAAAAAAAACACTAGATTATATATTAAGCTGATGATATCCATAATCACGAAACGATAGACGGGATGGATTTAACCAACTTAGCACGGTGGGAGTCCAAGATGGGCACATAAGGTCGGTCGGTCTAAGGAGTGTTCATTTCTGGCTTAACCATGATCGGCGGATCGGCTTGGTGTGTCCTGAAAATGGCTGAGGCTAATGAGATGGGCATGATGCATAGAGCTTTAGATTGTAGGAATTGCATGGCAGCTCCCACATCTTCTTCCATTAGTTTTGCTACTTGTTGCTCTGTGCCATCACTTGACCATTTCTCCCATGCTTGTTGATTCGCGCCGCTCTCAATGCCTTCTCCCTATAAATACGTAAAATCCCGGTTGAGAATCGTAAACAAAACGACAAGAAATGTCGAACATATGCTGACATGTCGACTTAAACTTTTGAATTTACTACAAGTTTGACATGATGACAAAATACGAGGTTTTGTGTTTGAACTCCTGTAGTGTCATTTTAGTAGCAACGTTTTTCGGTTTGGGACTAATCCCCAAGAGATTAGAGAGCCATATAACCTATCAGTTTAAGCTTTTGAGTTAATGGTCGTTTAACGCAATAAGAAAATAAAGGGTCATTTCTATAGGTTCCTTAATCGATCTCGGGCTAATCTTTAAGCCCGGGAGAAGAGGGTCATTTCTATAAAGAACGTCGAAGCTCAAATTTTCGTACCTCGACTGATGATAGGGGCACATCGGCCACAAGTTGAGCCACCGCACCTGCCCCACCTAGTCTGCTCATGCTTAAAACCTATGGAAAGTATATCGAATAAAATCAGATACGAGACGTCTAGGAAACAAATCAACCAATATAAAAATCGGGGTCATGCTTGGTAGACTTTTTTCAAGAACTGTCGTATTGTTCCTAAGAATTGGGATCGAGTGACTTGTAAACGACGAGGTCATGAACTTTCATTGTTCTGAAAAATAGTTTGAAAATGAGTACCTTAACTTGAAGCCTAAGAAACTTTACATAATCCACAATTTCATCGAGCATTGCCGCTCGATCAGTCTGCAAAACGAAACGAATTGGTTAATGTCGAGACTATGAATTTGTGTTCGAGCAATCAGAGTCATTAATAAAATTCAGGTTTTTGAGTGGAACCGAACCTTATTGCAGCTAGGAACCAACTCCTGCAAGGCCTTCATTCTTTCTGCGATTCTTTCTCGACGCAACTGCAGTCATGACAGTCGAACCGAGCTAAGATTCATTGAGATATAGATAACACAAAAAGTGAAAAAAAAAGAAAGCCCTTTAGAGTTCGTTTAGGAAGCTTTCTTTGAAAATTCTTTATGAAGGCGTCTCCGCTACCCCCCTCTCATCCCCTTGTCTTATCTAGGAGGGCGAAGCACGAAATATTTATTGGGACACCTAAAATTTTACGTTCTAACTTTATACATTGATAATCTATCCCGCTCCTTCCTTCACTAATACTAGTTATTCCCTAATGACTGGTTCGATGCCCTTAAACCTCTTGATTTAAAGGACACCGACCTCAGCTCGATCGGTTGGTTTCGATCGGATAAAGCTCTGTATAGGTGCAAGGATGGTGACCGAGTAAGATTGCCATGTTATCGAATTGGAGGGCACATTGGGGCACCCTTTTGGTTGACCCCCTCCCTTGTGATCTCTAAAGTGGTCAAGAATGTCACTTCTTTTGGCCATCTAGCATCTATAACCTTTCTAAGGGCTTCCCAAAGCTCTTAAAATGATGGGTTTTCCTTATATGAACTCCTAAATAAGCACAAGTGCTAAAAGCTCCCTCTTTATGGACTTCACATTCAAATATCTGTAACATGTGCTCCCATATTGTCCACTTTAGTCCGTTACATATCGTCGTCAGCCTCACGGTTTTAAAACGCGTCTACTAAGGAAAGGTTTCTACATTCTTATAAGAAATGTTTCGTTCCTCTCTCCAACTGATGTGGGATCTCACAATCCACCCTCCTTGGGACCTAGTGTCCTCGCTGGCACATCGGCCCGGTATCTGGCTCTGATAAAATTTGTAACAACTCAAGCCCACCGCTAACAGATATTGTTTGCTTTGGCTTGTTACGTATCACCATCAGCCTCACGGTTTTAAAACGCGTCTACTAGGAAGAGGTTTCCACACCCTTATAAAGAATGCTCCGTTCCCCTCTTCAGCTGATGTGGGATCTC